CTCATTATAAGGTAACGAAAACAACGATTCTTATTTTCATGTGACTATAAACTAATGAAAACATACCTATGAATATCAATCAATGAGCAGTCCAGTTTCAAGGCACAATTGTATTTTTCTTTAATGATTTTTGGTGGTTAATCCACAGTGTCATAAACAGTTTTCTCAAATTTTTCCTCAGTCAGACAAGACTGTGTTTTCATATGACATATTCTATGATACTAGAATTCAAAGACGCATAATGGTGTCAGAATGGGGACAAAGGGCGAGGTATGCAGAGGCAGCATGGACAAGAGGTGCATCACATGCATTAGACCTGTGCACGAATCACTTTATTCCATCTGAGATATTACTTCTTGGCACCTTTGCCCTTTCAACCCATCTACCCCTCACCCCCCCCTCTCCTCCCTCTGTCCCTCACCCTATCAACAACCTCTATTACCGCCGATCGATTTTTAACCTCCGAGACAGTTGTTTTGTGTCCCGGAGACAGATTCTCTTTTCATCTTTTTTTTGATTGACAGGCATGGTTACCATAGTGATATGAGGAAATTTGATTGATTTGATGCCAACTAAAATAACTTGAAAAGACAGAAAGACACAGACTAAGAGACAAACACACCCATTCACAGAGAGAGACTTTAAAAGGCCCTTTGTTTTAAAACTGAAACTGCAGGGGAACACAGAAGTGACGTTCTGTCACTTCTTGCCTTCCACATGTTGTCCAACTGTTGTCAGCTGTCAGGGTGACTTCCATTCACACAGAAGAAAGCCACCTTCCAAAGTCATTTCATACGAAGGTGGTTGTGTGCAAACATCCTGTCAATACATTCTCGTCCGAACTATTACCTTGTGGAGAAGGAGACATTTTGTCCTCTTATGCTAGACTGACTTTTATTGTGTTTGACTCAGTTTTTATTTGTTCAGTTGAAATTCCCAATCAGTTCTTTTTTCCCAGCTTTGTTCTTATCTATCCGCGAAGGGTTGAGCGAGCACACATGCTCTGTTTCAGCATCACCTTGCTTTACATTTACACAGTCACACACTCTCCTCTCCTGGGAGCTTCCGAATACAACCAAGCTACTGAGCAGCTCCACTGGAGCAGATGGGATTAAGGGCAAAGGCTGTTCAGTAACTGTTGCTCTTTTTTTAAAATATATTTTTACATTCAGCACACAGACATCAAAACTGTGCCTTGTCATGCATAAATTCCGGACAATAAATTGAGCATTTTCAGTACAGGCTGAGCACTGAAGTCTTGCTTCTGTTTATTCATGCTTCACCATCAGTACCCCTTTTATCAGCTGCTTTGCTACCAGCTGAACAGTAACATCCAATCATATTTGTACAGTTGTATAAGGCCTTAAGAACACTCTCACTTCTCACTGCTGTTGGAGCTCCCTCCACCACACAACCATACAAATTCCCAGTGCAAACTATGATAAAGGATCATGATGTCACACAGTTTGTCAGCCTGTCTGTCCATCCAAATATCTGTCCGACACTTTGGTCTTCAGCAAGGTATCTCCAGAAAAAAAGACCAGCCAGGTTGCCATGAAATTTGGCAACAATATTCATATCGCCCCAGAAGATGATTCATAATGTTTGTTAATTTGGTTCTGTTGTTTAAATTTTATGCTGTCACAATGCAGAATACAGTACATGTACTTTACGTAGGAGGGCTTTTGCAATGGCTGTCATTGTTGGCAACACTGACGCAAATTCTGTTTTTACCCCCAAAATAATGGACAACATCTTTCAAAGAAGTTGAATTATGAGGGGTGTTTTTATTGTTGGAAAAGAATGCTTCACTGACCCTCTATATTGCTACACTACAAAATAATTTCCCCCTTTTTCTTCTTGCCTCTTGTCTATTTTTTCCCCTCTTCTCCAGCATCACTATCTTTGGTACCGGGGCCAAGTGGCTGTCTGTGCTGCAGGAGAGGAACCTGAAACCCGGTAAGTTGTGCTCACAAGCATAAACATGTACGCACATACATGAGCAGGCACACAGACATCCAGAGACACACATGGACGCACACAAATAACAAGCAGAAACTCTGAGTGAAATGCATTCACACACACACACACACACATACACACATACACCTACTCTCTGAGAATGGAACCTGGAACAATAAGAGCAGATGGACACGATAATGATTATAATAGTGATGCTGTTTGACTCTAAATGTCCTTTATGCCATTTACTGTGTAAATCAACAGTTTGCCCTGTGTTCTGGTGTTTGACATGCAATCGAATGAATAAAAGTGCTGTTATGATAATTCATATGAGTCATGGATAGGACCAACTAATTGCTTTTAGTGTCACAGCTCTCTAGAGACAGAACCAGGCCGCTACAAATAATCTGAGTTGTGCCAGTGCTTATTAGCCTTCCTGCTAACCTTCACACATGCTGGTCTCTGACTGCTATTTGTGTGGAAAAAAAGGTCAGTTTAGAAGTTCAAGCTAAAATTATTGCTGATTTGCTACGCTCTTTTCTAAAGGTACATGCTGTATTGTAGTAGAACAAAGACCAAGACAAATTTCAGAAATTGTTAGGCTTCGAGCTTCAATTGAGTTTATATTCAATCCATCATGCTGTGCCTATTTTAGATATTTGAACTTTTATACCTGGTTTACAGTAATGCTAGTGCAGGAAATGACAAAAGAATGCCAGTTAAATTAGTTACATAAGCTGGCATTTGGTTTACATAATTATATATCAAAGCTTTTTCTCTTTTGTTGCTCGGCTTCTTCATGTCCTCCTCTTCATCCACGCATTTAAACTCTCAGACTGTCCTCCTGTTCTCATTCTTCCCCATTTCCTCTCTCCTTTCCTCTCCCTCCTTTCTCCTCTCCTAATGTTAAATTAGCACTTATAACCGATGTTTATTGCATAAACAGTTGCTGTGTGTCTCATTTCCCAGTGGTGTTATAATCACCACAAATCTTTATTCATGGTTTGCGTGTGTGTGTATGTATGTGTGTGTGTGTGTCTGCAACTTGTAAATTAGCTAAACACATTCCTAATTTTGGGACATGAAGCAAGAAGGTACAAAAAACAAAATGTCCATAAGCAGTTTTTTCTGTCTTTCTCTCTCTCTTTGCCACACCCCCTTCAGTCAGCCATCCATTTAGCATTGTATGTGTGTGTGCGTTTGCATAAGTGTGTGTGTCTGTGTGTGTGTGTGTGTGTGTGCATGCAATCATGCCTCCAGTGGGCTGGGGAGGCTAGGGGGAGCTTCTTCACCAGCTGCCCCAGTGGAGGGGCCCTTTTCCCTGGGCTGACATTTGGACCGGACACCTGGAGGCATGGTGGGGGGTAGCAAGAGTTCCCGCTGCGTGTGTATGTGTGTGTGTGTGTGTGTTTATGGGGTGAGGGTCGGTTGCTGGAAGCTTATTAGTTTGCAGGGTGTTATTGGCTTGTGGATTGGGCATGTGTGTGTGATGGAGGGAGTGCACGCGTGGACCTTAGGGACGGAGACTAAAGGTGTGTGTGTGTGTGTGTGTGTGTGTGTGTGTGTGTGTGTGTGTGTGTGTGTGTGTGTGTGTGTGTGTAGTGTGTGTGTGTGTGTGTGTGTGTGTGTGTGTGTGGTGTGTGTGTGTGTGTGTGTGCTGCTCATGTTTAAATCGTGTGTCTGTTTCTGTGTGTGGGTTCCTTATTTAGGCAAAAATGATTGCTGACTTGAAATGTTTCAGTATGTCAGCCACTATTATACCTTAGTTCTACATAACCCTTTTTATTGAATAAAATATGCAATACTACTTTTTACTCTTGTCTCAACACAAGGAGCCGTGCAAGAACTGCTGCCTGCTGTAAATAAAATACAGGCTTCCTGATTAGATCACAAAATAGCTGCAAAATTAAATAAACAAGAATAAAAAACTAACCAACATTCAATGCCACTTTAACAATCTGTAGTTCTTGATACCAATGGACTTTTTGGTCGGTACTGAAAAACTCAAAATACAGTAATATACAGTACCTTAATGAGATATACTGCAGGTAAAGCAATTTCTGATTCATCTTTTGTCCCTCCCCATTTTTTAAAAGTTTTTCTCTCATCTCTTCCTCCCACAGGGGAAACACACAACCTCCAGTCTCTCCACACCATCCTGTCTACTGGATCTCCTCTCAAACCTCAAAGCTACGACTACGTCTTCCGCTGCATTAAGAGCAACGTGCTGCTGGGCTCCATCTCAGGTGATTGACTGATGTTGGGACACATTTTGTCTTTTTTTTTCTTTCACACTTTAACACTTTAGTTCCATCTAAGGGTGAAAACACAGCAGAAGCTTTTTCCAAATGTTTGTGTCCACCACATTACCATTGGCAGCAATACGCACAAAATTCAAAATAAAGCAACAAAGCATCTGCAACACAAACACAAAAGGACTGACTCATACGAAGGAAATTCAGAAAAATAAATTGTATAGAACTGTACATTTTATTCACCACCCACAACATCACCACACACTCTCTCTATCTCACACACAGGCCCTTTCAGCCCATTGTTATGCTGACAGGCCAATAGAATGCTATCTGTCTCTCTCTGTGAGTCCTGAAACGTTTAACATTTAGCACAGTCTGGGTGACTGCTGTATTGTGGACACGCACACAGACAGAGACACACATCCACACACGCACAGACAAACCGAGTAGCAGCTTGGAGTGTCAAACATGCAGAGACTAACGGCATCTAAGCAGCATGCACATACTGTGAATGACAACCCAAATGGGTGTAGCTTATGTCCACGGATAGATGCATACACCAGTGCACATTTAGACAGATGCACACAGTGACATGCAGGTCTAAGGATTGGACACCTGGCACGAGAGGAAGAAAAAGAGATGGACAGTGGGAGCAGTTTTGGCCATCATTCCTTTTCATCGTAGTAACATTTTACTGATCAGAGCACGGTGACAGCATAAACAAGAAGTGAAACGAGGCAGGAAACAAGAACAGTGTGATGAGCATACATATCCCCAGGGTTGATCACAGACTTCCTGGTTTGGATTTGACTGTGACAGCCATGCTTACCCTAATTGTGAGCACACACAGGTCCTGCACAATAAAGGGATTGTTATAAGGGATAAAAACATTATAACATTTTGGGTACACTTACTTTTGACTTTTTCAGTGGCTAAACTGTTGGCTCATTTAGAATCTGTCTGATCATTTCATGTCGTACCCTATCAGACTTCTTTGTAGCAATGTCTTGTGTTCCCGGTTACATTAACGTGTACAATGATCTCATAATTGATAGAAATTTTGAAAACTACAAAATTAAGATCCAAGTCAATTAAGGGACTATCTCTGTGTGTATGTGTACATGGATATGAGAGCGTGTGTGCTTATGTATGTGTCCGTGTGTGTATTCTTCAGAACAGCAGGTCCTGCCCCTCTCAGTTTCCTCCTTGTCGTCAAGGGCAACAGCAGGCTCCAACCCTGTTGGCTGCCAACCGACCTAACCTTGACCCCCGAGGTCAACACACTGTGCGTGTGTGTGTGTGTTCTTTGAATTTGTCACAGCATATGTGACTGACTGGTGGTCACGGTGACATATGTGATGGACCCCTTTGCCGGTTTCACCCTGTGTGTGTGTGTGTGTGTGTGTGTGTGTGTTTGTGTGTGTCTACAAACATATGTGTGAGTTATAGTGTTTTTCAGGGCCTGTGTGTGTGTCTGTGTGTTATCCTGTCAGCAGGGATTTAACACTTTCACTGCTGGATTCCCTCCATCCTAATATACCTCCGCCTGACTGCCCATATGTCACTCCTCTACCCCATTTTTGCTCCTTCTCTTCTCTTCTCGTCTCTTCTCGTCTGTTCTCTTCTCTGTAAGGAACCTTTATTTTCCATGACATTGTGTGGTTAAGTTTTATGTATTTGGGTGTGCATGTGTCTCCTCAAGTATTGGATTTGTGTTTCTTCCTGTGACTTTATTATGTGTATTCTTTTTATAATTCATATCTGAATATATGAATGCATTCGCAGTTCAGCTGGATGCCTTTTTGTCTCAGTTGGTGGCTTTGCCTGACCCCAAACTGTGCCAGAAGATGTTCAAAGCGCTCACGCCTACACAAATGAAAACAGACTCGCATACACACACAAACTCGGGAGTTCAAAAAATCTTTCTTCGCTGTTCAGAATAGTCAGTGCTGTTAGAAAACATCAGATCAGTGTGACAAGTTTGCCTCTTGTGTATACACACACTAAATCTGATGATGGAAGGCATCCCAAGAAATCCCCCCACAGGCAGTGGCTTTTGGCTTAAAATATACTGTGTGTGTGTGTGTGTGTGGTGGTGTGTTTGTGTTTGCGTGCGTACCCACCCATTAAAGTGAGTGTAATAATAAAATAATTGCGTGTCTTCCCACTATAAGTGTGTGTGTTTAATCAGAAGACAAAGTTTCCACTTCCTCCAGGGAGCCAATTAAAGCTCAATAAAGAACCTGGCGGAGAGAGAGAGAGAGAGAACGAGTGTAAAGAACAGAAAGAAATGCAAGAGAGAAGGAAGAGGCAGAAGGGCAGAGAGCAGTTGAGAGAAAGATGGATGGATGGAGTCTGTGATACAGAGAGGGAACGAAACAGGGAGGTAGAACAATGGGAAGGGAGATGAATAGAACGTGTCAGAAATAGTAGATGATTGGAAGGTAGAAAGAGACAAATGGATGGTGCTGCAGTATGTATGTGTGTGTGTTCATGACAGTTTTAGGAATGAGCTGCGACGGTGTAGAACTCGTATATAGGTCAATGGAGGTGGAGCAGGGCGCTAACAGCCAAGTTAGTTTAATAATGTCTCAGGTCGCTGGTCACTGTGATGCTTTACTTATAGGTACCTTATCCCATAAGTTAGTAAACGTATAAAATGTGGATTGATTTTTATTTATTTTTTTGCCCCTAAGGGGAAGAATTATTATTGGTTGGTTTCTGATTGGCTGCTGATGTAGGACACCAACTAAGTAGTTCCAGTGAAACGGATGAAATGAATAAATGAATTGAATGAAGAAGAAATCTAGCTATATAACTCATAAATATATCTCACTGTGTAGTCCTTCAACCCCATCTTCTAAACTCAGCTCGCTACACAGTACACATGCCCTATCGTTCGTGAAAATCTTGATATCGATTTGGGGACAATGACATGCCCAGATTGTCTTGTTGCTAAACCTAGTTTAAAATTATATTCACTGTTTGTCGACCGTACGATTGTGTTGTTGTTTATGGAAATTATGGTGGGCATTTAAAAAAAAATAATAATCCTTTTAGGTATCAGCAGCAGTCGAATAAATTACAAAAATAATCATTAGCTGCCTACTCAACCAACTAAATCTCTCCCTCTGTGTCTGCTTTTCTCTCTGCTCAGGCGGCACTGACATAGTGTCGTGTTTCATGGGTCAAAACCCAACAGTTCCAGTGTATCGGGGCGAGATCCAAACAAGAAACCTCGGCATGGCTGTGGAAGCCTGGAGCTTTGAAGGTAAGAGTGTGTGTGTCTGCTTAGCCAAAACTCTATCAAGGGATTCTTGATCAGGGTCTGGGGATCAGGTAGGTGTTGTAAGGAAGTTGCTAGTTTGAATCCTAGGAGGGACTAGAAAAATATTAATTACAAGCCCATTTAAAAAATGCTGACATGCCCTTGAGCAAGTATCCCATCTCTATCTGTAGCTGCTCGGTAGCTAACAGAAAGACTGTGGTTATACCTGGTTGCTCCCATATGTGGCTGTACCTGTTTGTGCGGGCTATATTTGAAGCTAGCCATCACTGAAAAATTGCGAGTAATTATTGAACTCTCTGGGTAAATAGAATACAGGTCAAAACTTAAGGGAAACACAATTATTTGTCAATGGGAGTCTTCAAAACCCCTCTATGTTTTTTCTCATTGATTTTAGTCCCTTGTTCCCCAGCTCCCAGTCCCTGCTGCAGGCTGTACTGGTGTGTTTCTACCACCTCGAAGGAGAGTGGATTGAGGCATAATTTAAAGGCAGTTTTATAGGAAGAGCTTGGGATTATTTTAGTCGGTCTCTAAGCCTATAACACTGTCCTGAGGGAGGAGGTGAAGTCTGTGTGAAACCACACACTAAAGTGTATTAGGTTCTCTGAGTGTGGGATACATTACATTTAAAATCTGAGAATGATTTATATGTGTGTCCGTGTGTGTTTTGTAAGTGTGTGTGTTTATAGGTATGTGCTCAAATGTATGTGTGTGTGTGTTGTGGCAAAGTGTGGCCAAAAACCTCTAACCTTTTTGTGTGTGTGTGTGTGTGTGTGTGGACAGGTAAGCCCGTATGGGGAGAGAGCGGGGAGCTTGTCTGCTTGAAGCCAATCCCCTGCCAGCCAACACACTTCTGGAACGATGAGAACGGAAGCAAATATCACAAAGCGTACTTTTCCTCATATCCTGGTAATTGCACAAAAATCATACATAAATACAACCCTACATACAGTATACATACATGCAAAGAGTCCAGGAAAGAAAAACACATTGATACACATGATATAATGCAGTCCCATTCAGTATCCCTCATAAATACTGTCCACTTAAACCCTTTTTTCTACTATTGCAGCTAACATTATAGCATGTCATATCTTTTATATTTTTATTATTACATTACATTACATTCTTAACAGTTGTTTTTTTCACACCAGCTGTTGATTTCTTTTCATTGCATGTATTGTTGTTTTATTTGTTTTTAATGTGTATTTCTATTACCAAACATTTCTGCAAAATTAAAAAAAAACCCAACAACCTTGAATTAAACTTAATTGTGTTTCTTTTCTCTAGGGGTGTGGGCCCACGGAGACTACTGTAAAATCAACCCAAAGACAGGAGGCATTGTCATGCTGGGCAGAAGGTCAGGCATTAACCTACTACTACGAGAACAACTGAATGATGAAATAATAATTTTATTTACTCCAATGTAGTTTTAATTGATTCATTTATTTAGAGTATTTTGCAAGTGGACAGATTTACTGGTAAATGTAGTTATACAGATTGCAGACAATGAAAGAAAGCTCTTAGAGTGGATTATTAATATTATGCTCATTTCCAGTTCTATATTCTTAGTCTGAGACTCCACAAGAGCTTTGCATGAATAATTCTTTAAAAACATCCTTACTTATCTTATACAGGCTGGGCCCTTCATGCGGGCCCTTCATGCAGCCCCTCAGTTTATCCTCCTGAAACAAGCTGTATCTCTAAAGGTTAAACTTAGACTTTAAGTCCTCTCTAAACTTAGACAAACTCAGCAGCCGGATGGATGTATCCCTGCTCCACCGTGCTCTGCCTGGAGCAGATGGCCATAAAAAGAAATCTGTCACGTTGGCTCGTCACGTAAAGTAAAAAAAAAAAAACGTTGTAAACGTTGCATTCAGAGCACTCTAAACTTTTTGGTTTTTGCTCACAGGGATTACTCAACATTTTTCCACTGTACTACATATGTTAACCTTATTATTTGACACTTTGGCTTGTTTGATATCAACATTAGATATTACATGTATGACAGAAACTGAGAAAAAGCATAATAGGTCCACTTGAAGCTGCTTTATGGCACAGTATAAGATTGCTTCACGTCACAAGACAAATAAAATGAAATAATCCCCAGTTTACAGAAACTGAATTTGTTTCTGTCTGCTGTTTTTCTCTCTCCATCATGATGTGTTATATGATGTGTGTGGCAAGACAGCTTCCCAGTGACAGACACTAGAGTTTTGAATCTTGAACTTGTGTTTGTTCTGCAGTGATGGCACATTGAATCCCAACGGAGTCCGATTTGGCAGCTCAGAGATCTACAACATTGGTGAGTCTTGAACATTAAGAGTGGAGCACGGTGTGTTGTGAGAAAGGAAAGGCAAAAACCTTTTTGTGAGCATAAATTGAGTGATCCTCTATGTTGGTGCAAAAAAAATAAATACTTTTTTGAGTTTGCTCACTAGTCATTGTGTGTTCAGCTAATTGAATGCCACAAAAGCACAGTTTATTTCTACTCCTACTGTTGACAGCAGGAATGTTTCTGTGCTCAGTTTTGAAGTTGTAAATGGTGAAACATTTTTCTTTCTTCCTACCAATGTCCTCAAACTCAACCAACACTTAATCTTTTCCTCTTCTCTTCTTTTAATCTTTGCTGCCTCACTCTCTTAACCTCTCACCTCCTCGTCTCTCCTTGCCTCTCATCTGCTCTCCTCATTTTTTGTTTTGTCTCCTTGTCCTCTGCTCTGCCCTCTCCTTTCCTCTCCTCTCTGCAGTGGAGGCGTTTGAGGAAGTGTCAGACAGTCTTTGTGTTCCTCAGTACAACGCAGACGGAGAAGAGCGAGTTATTTTGTTCTTAAAGATGGCACCTGGTAAGCCCTTCTGTCCGGAGTTGGTGGCGAAGATTAAAGGAGCCATTAGAAAAGCTCTGTCTGCCCGACACATCCCTGCTCTGCTGCTGGAGACCAGAGACATTCCTGTAAGAACACTTTAAATATCACATATGAATAAATCTGTCAGATTATCCTGTCACAATGGTCACATCCGTAAAATCAGCCCTGGCTTGAATGACCCTTTTCTTCATCCCTCTGCAGTACACTATCAGCGGTAAGAAGGTGGAGGTGGCTGTGAAACAGGTGATTGCTGGGCGGGAGGTGGCGCAAAGAGGAGCTTTCTCCAACCCTGATTCGCTGGACCTCTACAAGAACATCCCTGAACTGCAAAACTATTAGAGATGAGGCTTCATGGAGCTGGAGAAGAGCACCTGAAAGAGAGAACCAACCACCTGAAAAGTTTAGTTTAGTTTTTAAATTAACTTTGTTAAAATTTACAGACACAGGGAGAAATGCAGAGTGCATTACAGGTGTAGTTTACAAAGGCACTCTAAGCTTTGTACAGGGCATAAAAAAAGGAAAAAAATATGTATGTCAAAATAATACAAAAAGGGTACAAATAATATGTGTATATAATAAGCCTATGGTATCAGGCAGACAAGAGACTTTAAAACATTTATGTGTACTGCTCCATAGCTTTCAGTCAAGTGATCAAGCAGCTGCTCTCAGTCTACCATGTTGTGCAAGTAAATGTTGAACTGGATTCAGCTTTGGATGTGATATGATGTGCACAGCAGTGCTTGTGAATACGCTTATGTTCTGAAGCAATGGAGAAGAGAAATTTAGCATCAAGTGTTTTTGCTTTGGCTTCACAGTCTGATTACTATCAGCCAGTGAAGAACCATATTTCTCTGTGTCATCTGCTTTAACCCCCTGTGTTGGTACTGAGTGGGTCTCAGACTGAAAATCCATTGAAGTGTGCAGATAAACACATACAAACATCTGGGATTAACACCTCAGCTTCGGCTCATACCGCCATACCATTGTTATGTGGTGTGTATTGCTTTATTAAATGTGTATATATAAATATATATTTTTTGGATTGTGAAATTACGTTAACTTACTTAATTATGCATTTAAAGATAGTGACTCAAACCTGTTAACCAAAGTGAGCCTCGGGCTAGGAGGGTCGTAACATGTCAAGAGTTGGAGTTTGAATGAATTAACCAGAGATTCCAGATAAAACAAAACTAACTGAACTTTTGTCCCAACTGTTATTGAGTTGAAAGTTATTGATTTCCTGTGTGTGACATGCTCAAATCCTAACCCTCATTTGACTTTGTAACCCGTAATTCTATTTCATTCCACCTCCAGACGTCAAGGCATGAATGGATGAAGCTCAAGTGTGAGCAAATGTTCATTTCACCACAAAAGCCTGTATTTTCTAGTTCCATATCTATGTTCCATGTTTGTAATACCTGTAAGAAAATGTGTTGTCTTCAAATAGCTACAGTACAGCCTGTTTTTGCTTTGTACATGTAACAGCTAAATGATTTATTCAGAACTTCCTTGTGCTGTGTGGCAAAGCCTAAAGGCTTATTAATGCTGTTAAAGATGAACTGCAATGTTTTTGGTCACTAGTAGCACTACTGAGCAACATGGGTGTACATTAACAAAAACTCTTAACACTTACATTTCATGTTGACAGAAAAAAAAAACCTGACCAGAATGTAAAATGTGGAGAAATCACAGATACTAATGTTTATACTAAAACATTCTTCGGAGAACAATTACTGATACAGAGGTAGCATTTTTCTTACTGGACCTTTTTGTGGTTTTTAAGGATTGTTTTTGTTTAGCTCTTTCTTACTTGTTTCAGATAATTTTAAACATGTTTAACGGTATGAATGTAAATAAATCAACTTAAAACTCTGCAGTTCATCTTTAATGTCGCCGCTGAAATAGAATACGTTTTCTCTTTAAAGGTACCCTGTGGCGTTTTTGACCACAAGGAGCGCTATGGAGCAACGTTTCGATGAGGCGGCACCCATTTTGCACAAGCATGTGGGCGACGGCGCACATATTCCTGCCAGTGGTGTCACAGTATTCCCCTGACCGACAGGTTAAAGTTGCAATACACTCGCAGAAGGGAAATGTAGGGAAGACCAAAAGCTAGCAAACATGGATGTCAAATTTAAATGTTTTATGAGGTTCCACACATTGCCTTTTGGTGAGAAACACTATGTTAAAAGAACCACAGGGTACCTTTTAAAGTCTCAGAGATGCCTAGGTTCTCTCTCATAGAGACAGGGATCATATTAGGTAACTGTACACTGTACTTGACACTGCACTTTAGTACTCTATATGTGACTTTGTTCATGGTGAAATCTAGTGATCTACTGTTCCATATGCATGCAGGTTATGCAGTTTCTTTTTTTCCTGCACTAAACGTTTCTCATAATAGGCCAAGAGTTTGCAAACATAATTCTGGGTGTATCACATGTAAGTTGATTATATTTGGTTCTTTCTTGTCTGCGTTAGGTGAATCCACAATGTAATTTTTTACTTACTTTGGTGTTGCGAGAAAGTTTATTGAATCACTTGTGACAAGTGTCTTTTGTCTTTTTCTTTCTACAGTTTATTTTCTCTTTTACACAATAGCATGATGGTGGTCAATGTCCAGGTCTAGTTTATGTTGGCTATGTTCAGTAGGGGGAATATTTGCATTAGATACCGCTTAAGTTGTGTACAAAGGGAAATTCTGTTGCAAACGGGTGCATTTCCTGGTTGACAGCTGTCAGCTACCCATTGAAGTAAAGCCAGTCTGAGAGCAAAAGCTCAAACAAACAATTTGTATTCCAAAACTTCAGCCTTTAATACCCGTTGCAGATTTACAGCATCCACGTTGCTTTCCTAAGATCAAACTGGGAGACCCTTTATCCCATGCTTGCTGGACACAGCATATGAGTAACGGTTTTACTGAAATATGTAATTTTTTTTAAACAAGAAAATTCTGACTGATATTCATTCAATGCTCCTTTGTCAGCAGTTTATAGCTTTACCTTTTGGGTTTTTAACACCATCACCAGCCGATACGATATAATCACTAAATCAGCATTGGTGCTACAGTTTGCAGCTTGTGATGTTTTGACCACCTCAGCATGTGAGCTTCTCCTTTAGGGTGAAGAATAAAAAACTGTCAGACTGGTGGAATAACAGAAAAGGCTGTGTGTTGAGCAATTGTCTGTGTATGTGTGTTTGTGTGTATTTTGGTGAGTGTGTAGAAGCCAGTCATTTTGACAGACATCTACTTTAGAAATAAACTTGGCAGTTTTAAAACTCCCTGTAACCTTTATTAGTGTGAACGATCAGACCTGCCAGTCAGCCGAACTTCAAAACGTAACAGAGAGGAAAATATAAAAATAGAAAAAAGTGAGACTTGGTGAGAGTCCAGTTCTTCAGTGTAGAAAGTCTCACCAATGTAGTGTGCTAGCATTTTATTTACTCCTACCTTCAGTCATTCAAACATGAGACAATGTTTTGTTGGCATCCTGTCAGTTTGTAGGAGAGATAAGAGGGTGAATAGAGAGAAGGGAGGGCTAAGTATGTAGGAATGCTGACAAATGAAGTGTTTACCAAATTCACAAATAATAACCATCTGATGAGCATGAATGGTAAGTGCCATACAGTCCCCCAGAGAGGCTGTCTGTTGTTGTATGATTCATCGCAGTGGTCTCATAACAGAGCACATCACAAACCAGAAAATTACTTTGTTAACGGCTTGATTGTACACTCTGTATTTACAAGGGTTGTCGGTTAATCCATTCTGTGTGCAATCAATTTAAAATGTAAATTGAAACTGCACGGACTAATGATAGACTGTTATTCTGAGTTATTTTGTTAGAAACTGACCTGGGGTGCTGACGTAAAAGTTTTGCTTCCATACTGAGGAATAATAAATATATAAAGTGACTGGATTGGAATGCAATTAACTCTGTCTCCCCACAGTTCAATGTATTGTTTAACTAGTCAGACTAAGAAGTGCCATTAGTGACTTCATTAAGGAATTAAAAACAAAGTGCAAGTTTGTTTAATCATCCATATGTTTCCAAAGGGGTGTTTGAAGCCTTGTTTTAATCTTTAGGCTATCGTTGTTGTTAATGGAGCCAGAAATCCAAATTTTAGTAACTGGATATAGTTGAAGTGGGGCAAGCAGAAGGCAGCCATGATGTGTCACACATGGCAACCATGTCCAGGAGATATTATTTTCATTATTGAGTTTTCTCTAAATTATTGTTTTGATGATGAAAATGTAGAAAACAGTGAAAAATGCCCATCATTTCCCAGAGCCCAAAGGGGAAATTACCTGTTAGTGTCTGATGGAGTTGCCTAGTTGTCATGGCGATAGACCCAATCAGATCTTTTTACTTCATGCTGCATGCAGGGAAGACCTCAACATGGTTGTTCTCTGAAGGGACTGTCAAAGTGCCTTATATGGCAATGTAAGGAACTTTGGCTCAATGGTTATAGGATGAAGATCTCAAAAAGCATCAGTTGAATCATTGTATGGAAATTACCATGCCTCACTTCGAGCTCTGGTGGATTCAGTCCCTCATTTATCCTCCTATCTTGGAAGTTTGAAACCTTCCTACTTCCCAGATGTGTTGAATGTGTTATTGTTCCTTCCTATTGTATCCTACCTTCCATGTCCCCAATTATCCTCAGGTGACGGTGCATTGAAGCCCACCTCCCCCTTCTCAGCCCCCATAGGAGACTTGTTAAATCTAAATTGGTTCCCAAAGAGACTTTCTCCTGAAAAGCTGATCACAACATCAATAAAGAGCTTCCATCTGCTCTTGTTCTGTACGGACGCCGTGCTGACAGGAACGTAGCAGAGACATGTTTAATCTTGAAGTGCAAATATGTCTCCCACATGCTGTCATATTTAAATCTCAGGAATGGAGAGAAGCCTCCTTTTTAGTCTGGTCAAAGGAAACAAGATCACCTCGGGGAGTTGAGGAGAAAGGGAGAGTTTTATTTATTCTACGTACTTTTACTATAGGCTCATTAAGAAGGAATTGACTGCAGGTGGGGTTCAAGTTACTGACAGATGGGGGTAGAATGAATTTTTCTTGATATCTTGGTGTGTTGGATTTAAGATAACTCCTAGCACTGGGTTCATGGGTTTCTTTCAATCCATTACTGGTGCCAAATCGTGGCTCTACCCATGTAAGATGGCAACAGAATAAATGAAATGTAGCTAGGTGCATGTCTTGTCAACTCTTGCCTTATTCTCTGGGGATGGCATTGTGGGTCTGTCAGTTGCTTGGTTCACCACTTTGGTCCAGACTGAAATATGTCGACAACTATATGATAAACTGCCAGAAAATGTTGTACAGACATTCACAGTCCCCAGAGGATGACACTTATTGTCTCCCTTTTACTACAGAACCCCCATCAAGTTGACGTTTTCTAGTGAAATATCTCAGATATTATTATACTTGGATACTATTGGATGGGTTTCTATGAATGCTCATGTCCCTCTCAGGATAAACTGTATTAACTTGGGTGATCCCCTGAGTTTTCATATAGCGCCATCTTCAGATCAAAATTTTAATTTGTTCAATACTTTGGTTTATGACCAAATACCTGCAAAACTGATTATATTATATAGTAAATGTAGCAAATGTTAGCATGCTAACATAAACTAAGATGGTGAACATGGTAAACATACCCGGTAAACATCAAGCAACTTCACAGTAGATTAAAGAACTGCTGTGTCCAAGTGCAGCCTCACACCACTGACATAGCTGTAGACTCTTAAGGCCCAAACGCACTGAAAGCATCTGACACTACCCTTTTGAGGAGCACCTATTATTTTAGATGGCCCAACATGCACCAAAAGCGACGTGTCTATAAAACTTTTGGTGCATGTTGGGCCATTTCAAACAATAGATGTAATTCAAAACATTTTTAAATCTTACTTCCACTTTTTTGCTTTGCTTTTAAAAAAAATGGAAGGTTTAAGGACAGATAGTCAAGATTGATTTGTGTATACTTGCTTAGTTAATAAGCTGTATGTTTATAAATGTTGTTATGTTGCTGTATGCTGTATGTTTATAAATATAAAGTATACAGTCACTAATGTGAATGATGGACATATGCTGAATATGTATTGTATTATATGTAAAAAGGCCTAATAAGAAACAAAAACCAGGGGAGTAATTACAACCAGAAAGAGAGAAAGAGACATATATATGACTACTCAGTAGACATTCAGTGATCAAAATAAAGTGGCTTTAACAACCAATCTGCTTTGTGTTTCCTTTTCAATTTGATTCTCCCAGGAACACACTGACAGTGGCTTTTATTTCATATTCCTTGTCAACAGGTTGTTTGAGATAACTCCCTTCCCCTTGTATCTCTAATATAAATTCTTTCATATTGCCCTCAAGCAAATGAATTTCAATTTGTTTTATGTGGTCATTCAATTGAGTTTGACACGAGAAGCAGCTAAATAGAAAAGAATCTCTACTGAGACTTGTGCCTGTATAGGGTGGCCCAAATTGAGTCGAGCAGATGTGCAAATTGCTCCCGAATACATCTTCAGATTCCTCTGTCACCGCAGAGGGAAACAATGTTTTTGTGTCCTCTGAAATGGCAATTGTGACATCATAAAACATTAAAGTTGTGCTGTATAAATGAGTTATTATCTTGGAGACTTAATGCTTTGCCAGTGTAATGCAGAGAAACAAAACTGTGAGCTGCCCAATGCAATTGGACAACCGAGTTGGTGCAGGTTAGGTTTTCAAACACGGGACCAATCAGTCGCAGATTTGCTTCTTCAACTACAGCAGTCTATGCATCAGTGTCTTGGATGTTTGTCCTTTAGACCATTACTTTAAATAAAGTTTATTTTTCTTGATTCTATT